ATATCTTCTCTTCTCCTCTCCCCTCCATCTGTAATCGACATATATATCTACATTATTTCCTTCCTTCCTTCCTTCATATCTTCTCTTCTCCTCTCCCCTCCATCTGTAATCGACATATATATCTACATTATTTCCTTCCTTCCTTCCTTCATATCTTCTCTTCTCCTCTCCCCTCCATCTGTAATCGACATATATATCTACATTATTTCCTTCCTTCCTTCCTTCATATCTTCTCTTCTCCTCTCCCCTCCATCTGTAATCGACATATATATCTACATTATTTCCTTCCTTCCTTTCTCCTCTCCTCTTCCCTCCACCCCTCATCGACATATATTACATTATTTCCTTCTTTTCCTTCCTTCCTTTCTCCTCCCTTCCCTCCACCCCTCATCGACATATATCTACATTCTTTCCTTCCTCCCTCCCTCCTCTCCTCTTCCCTCCATCCCACATCGACATATATCTACATTATTTCCTTCCTTTCTCTTCCTTCCTTTCTCCTTTCCTCTTCCCTCCACCCGTCATCGACATATATATCTACATTCTTTCCTTCCGTCCTTCCTCCTTTCATCTTCCTTTCTCCCACTGCCTCTTTCCTCCCTTCCTCAGAAAAGAGAAGGACTCCAACCCCAGAGAGAGGGATGGGGGAAAGGTTGAAGCATCAGGATTACAAGCGTTGCCTCCATGCCCAGCTGCAGCATGTGGAGCTTGAGCTGGAGCTGCTGGGGCCTCATCGCTTCCAGGATCCAAAGAGCTACACCCAGGCAGTTCGACAGGTCCAGCACATGAAATGCTTTTTGGAAAGCCAGCTCTGCTCGGCGATGCCGGAGAGCGAAAGGTAAAAACAGGGCACTTACCTCCAGAACTTTAGCACTACTTCTCTTTCATAGAAAATTGTTTAGCAATAGCAATAGCACTTAGACTTATATACCGCTTCATAGTTCTTTTACAGCCCTCTCTACGTGGTTTACAAATTCAGCCTATTGCCCCCAACAATCCAGGTCCTCATTTTACCCACCGTGAGATTTGAACTGCTGAACTGCAGCTAGCAGTCAGCTGAAGTAGCCTGCAGTACTGCACTGTGCCACCTTGTATAAAAGAGCCAGAGTGGTTTATCAGTGGAGATGCTAGATGAAGAACAGGGAGACCCAGTTTCTGATACCTCCCAAGATCCATGGAAACTTCCTGGGGGGGGTGGACTTTGAGCCAGTTGCCTCTTTTTAGCTCGGCCCACTTCCAGAGTTGGGCAAATTTAAAAAAAATATCCTTGACAACCTAAAGAAAATGTGGGATACATATTTATTGTGGCCCAGCAGGAGCTGTTGGAGCTGTCACCAGACTCCGACAGCGAGGGGCCCTATGAGTCGGCCCTGGAGGATGTGNACATCACTGTAAAAAAGTGACTTATGACCACTTTTCACACATACGAATTTTGATCACAGTCATGTGATCAAATTCAGATGCTTGGCAACTGGTTCATACTTATGACTGTTGTTGTTTCCCAAAGCCTTGTGATCCCCTTTTGCAACCGATGGGGAAGCCAGATTCATGTAACAATCGTGTTACTAGCTTATCAACTGCAGTGACTCACTTAACAACTGTGGCAAGCAAGGTCATAAAATGGGTCATAAAAACACAATAAATGTCTCACTCAACAATAGAAATTTTGGGCTCAATTGTGGTCATAAGTCGAGGACTACTTGCATTTACAACAGCTGCACTGTCCCGGGATCATCGTTTGTAACCTTCCTATCCAGTTTCTGACCAGCAAAGTCAGTGTGGGAAGCCAGATATGCTTAATGACCACATGTTTCACTTAACAACTGCAGTGATATGCTTGACAACTGTGGCAAAAGTAGTATAAAATAAGGCACATCGCACTTAAGAATTGTATCACTTTGCAAAAAACATTTGAAATGCAATTGCGATTGTTAATTGAGGACTAACCATACGTAAATGAAATACATGAGGAAGTAAAGCAATTCTTATGCATCCTTTGTTCTCTTCCAGGTGACTCTCACCTTGTATGGCCAGGAAGGAGAGAGTGAGCCCCATCATTTGGTGGACCCCGACACCCCAGTTTTTGAGCGAGGGGGTATGGATATCTTTCTCTTATGCACCCTCTTTCCTCTTGGCGAACTACAGAGCATCAGACTGTGGCATGACAATTCAGGAACGAGCCCTGCTTGGTATGTAAGGGAGGGAACAGAACAGTGGTGGGGGTCAAAATTTTTACTATTGGTACTGTGGGCGTGGCTTGGTGGGCATGGCTTGTGAGCATGGCAGGAGAAGGATACTTCTCCATTCCCTTCCCACTCCAGGAGAAGGATACTGTAAAATCTCCACTCCCTTCCCACTCCAGGGGAAGGATACTGTAAAATCTCCATTCCCTTTCCACTCCCAGGGAAGGATACTGTAAAATCTCCATTCCCTTCCCACTCCAGGGGAATGATACTGTAAAATCTCCCTTCCCTTCCCACTCCAGGGGAAGGATACTGTAAAATCTCCATTCCCTTCCCACTCCAGGGGAAGGATACTGTAAAATCTCCCTTCCCTTCCCACTCCAGGGGAAGGATACTGTAAAATCTCCATTCCCACCCCACTCCAGGGGAAGGATACTGTAAAATCTCCATTCCCTTCCCACTCCAAGGGA